CTTCCGACCCTTAATCTATGAATCTATGAATCTATGCTATGAGAAAAGGGTCTTTCTGTTCCTCCACAGTGTGCTCTGAAAAGATAGATAGTTCATATATTCTCCTTTCCTCTCAATTCCCTTGAGATCACCTTTGTGGGTAAGGAATGAACTACCACTCTTCTACTAACTCCTGACTTAAGTATCTTTGCAGTGAGTTAGGCAGTGAGTTGAGAACAAGGTTCCCTGCTAATAACAGATTAAAAAAATAAATCAGAAGATCAGATTCTGGAACTGTGACAAACAGGACAAATTTAGTGAGACCAAGCCTAGTGGTTTGGAACAGTATGTGGGAGGTGGTTTGGGTGGGAGGATCAGCTGGTATTTATTAAAACTTGGAACTTTTAGAGTGCATCTACTCAACAAAAGTAATTTTTGCAAAGTGACAGTCTCAGAGGATGAAGTTCTTAAAACCAAATTAGGAAGTAATATTCCAATAGAAAAAAAATGCCCCCAAATTATCTGAATATTTGTATTTTATTTCATTTTGTTTTCTCTATCTCACAGTATGCTTTTAATTTACCTACAGGGCATACCTGGACCCCCTGGACCAAAGGTAAGAAAATTTTCATCATCAGTAGAAAGCAAAGCAAAGAATTGGAATGAGCAAAAAAGATGGACTCTCTAAACTTTGCTGGGCATGAACAGTTTGTGGAGGATGGGGATCTGTTCTCTAATAGTTCAGAAAAATAGTTTATAATCAAACTGCAGCATCTCACTATGTGCCGGATCCCAATCTCCTGAAATATGAATTTTAATGGAGGTTTGTCTCCACATGGAGTTCATTGTCGGGCAATTCAACAAAGTGTCATACGTTTGGCTTTGCTGGTATTTATCACACCTAGCACATTTACCATTGTTCTAGGCATTATTTAAGTAACAATATTGTGTATTTTGCCACATTTCTCCTGCTACCTGCCAGATGCATGAGAGCTCATTGGCAAGATGTGAGGTGTTTGTAATTTTGGATTTTTCTTTTTTTACCTACAAAAATCTCCGGCTTGCTTTTACATGCAACACTACACAGAGGTCTAAGATTAAGAAAAGTTATGCTAGGTTAACATAACTTGAAAGCAAAACCAAATATTCTGTTTACAGGCTGCAGTACATCTTCCTTGTTACGTTTTAATTCAGTCAGGGTAAAACTCATCCCTGTGAAGAAGACTTAAGAGTCCTGTTCCCAAAGCTCCCAAGGATTTAAATGCTTTCGGTTGGAACAGGAATGAATTCCCTTCCTTTTCCTCCACTGTTCTTCTATTCTTCTTACAGCGCCACAGGGGAAATGGCAGTTTTATCTTCCTTCCTTCCTTCCTCTTTTGCAATTTAGATTCACTAACTTCTTTTAACTTTTGCAGGGAGACCCAGGAATTCAAGGCTACTCTGGAAGGAAGGTAAGATGGGAAGCCAAAATATTGAGAAGGACAGAGCAAATATGCATTAAGGCGAATCAGAGCCCTGTGGGTATATAACAGCAGAGAAATGTCAGTCAGGGGTAAACGTTGTAGCCAAGTTGGTCCAAAAGTACAAGTAGTCAGTGTGCTAGAGGCAATATCTTTTATTAGATTTACCAATTGGTCTAATAAAAGATATCGCCTCTAGCACACAGTCAATCAGTCTTACCACACAGTAACGCAGAGCTGTTCCAGCATTTCTGTGAGGAGTGACTCCTGCTGGGAAAGGCGGGGACTGGAGGAACTATAACACTTCCCCCCACAACTCCCCATGCCACTGTTCCTCTACCTATGGTGATTCCTCCTATGTGAGTCTGATGTGGAGATGCTTTTCATTCCGAAATAGCCATTACGCCTACAGACTTCCCGGCAACAGTCTCTGCTGGAGGAGGCTGAGCTGGAAAAGCTGTAAAGTCCCCTAAAGACCCATATCTTCTTGGCTGAAATTTATCTTGCATAGGAACACACGCGCACACATACACCCATTCTCTGAAAGAGATTGGAAGAGCTCTGGTATTCACATTCCTAATTGAGGATCCTTCTCCAAATTAGAAGCAGGTTTAATTTAGCCATAGGCTACGAAGCAGAAGCCAGAACACTGGGTCTGTAGCAGTGCAAAGTCTGGCTAGACCAGAGTGCACCACTGCAAAGCACACATCCCCTTGGGGCCCAGCTGGTGAGATCACCCTCAAGCGCAGTGATACTGGAATGCTTAGGTGGAGACAGGAGGGAGGTGCTTTCTCAGCATTTACCCTTGCTAGCAGAGCTGAATCAAGCCCGAAGAGCTTAAAGGGAAAGACAGAGAGAGATGGGAATAGAAAGACAGAGGGGGAAGAAAGACTGAAAAGAAGGGTGAGGGATTGAGAAGAGGAAGGAGAAGCGTGAGTATTCCCAGCAGCCGGGCGTTGTACGTACTGGGTTATCTATACATTGCTTTATAGTTGCTCTGTGGGTGAAATGGCAAGACCTGAGAGCTTTTTAATTAGTTCTGCATAAACTGAGAAGTTTTTCTTCTGTCAGGAAGTAAAAATTATAGCCCCTGTGGACCACAGTCTGCTCCTGCAGACACACACAATTTATTGCCTCCTCAGTCAGCAAACTGTCAGTTTTCATATTAAGTGCCCATCTTGCCATGCATAACATCCAGGAGGAGTCTTGGCACTCAGGAGTGCTGAGGAAGTTGCTGAGATGGCACACCAGCCTGTACCAGGATCTTTACTTGTGGATGGCAATTCATCTGACTGATTTATCAAGTCATGAGTCTGAATTCCTTTCGTGCTATGAAAGGGGTACTA